TTTTTTTTTTTGCAGCTGGGCAAACAATTTACGAATGATAAAGCAGGCAGATGAATTCATATAGTTATAATTAACATTTCTATTTATATTATAATGAAATGTTAGCAAAACAAAAGGAAAGTTACTTTTATCTCTAGTTACTAACGATCCTCATTTTCATTAAAGCATCCTAAAAAGATTAAAACCAGGCCAGGGGAAGGACTGAATAAGTTTACTTTACTCAGTTTTAACATTAAAAGAGATAGTAGAGTTGAAGGTCGAACAAAGGCTTAAGCTTTCTGGTTCCCAAAGCTTTTTTCTTCTGGAGATTAATTTAGTGTGCACATCTGGAAGATAGTGGAATGAGGGACTTTGAATTATTGGTTTGGACAGGGATATGTTATTACATTATGTTATTAACACTGTCTTACTTTGCTATTTTAACTTTCCAGTAATAGCCAATTGCTTTTATTAAGACAGCCAGGTGCGAAATCAATTTTTACTTCATCAAATGCATCCAAATGCAAAAATGGTTGAATTATAGGAGTGGCCAAAACGAAACACAGAGATTCAGAAGGAGTCAGTTTTGGGGTCCCTGACTTTTCAGGGGCACCCCTCATCCCTGGACTTTGTTGGACGGTATGAGATGTTTGGACCACGCCAGTTGGTAAAGAGCAAATCTGTTTTGGATTATTTGTTTCTGTAGCAATCTCAGTCTGTTATAATGGCTACAGAATATTTTACAGAATTTTTACAGAATATATGTGTGTTATTAAAAAATCAAAGTGTTAACATTTGGAAATACCTTTAAATTCACTTGGCAGGTGTCGACGACTTGTTATGTTCAATTTAAATGACAGCATTTTCTACTCGGTCGCATGAAACATTGGCACAGCCGTCACCCACGATCACTTGGATGAAGGTTATGTGCAAACAGCGCTCCTGTATCATGTTGTCACTGCTAGAGGCATGTGACAAAGTTCTGAAAAGAGAAATAAGCACCCATCACCGTGGTCAGTTAACAAGCAGGAATGAAAGATAGAAAAAGGGTCAAGAAATGTGGGGACTTGCAGAGTTAGAAGAAAAAAGTGATTTTGTCTCT